AATGAAAACTACAGAATACTAAAGAAAGAAATTTTAGATGAAAAAATCCCCCTTGTTCTTAGATAGGCAAAATTATTATTGTCAAAATGGCCAGACTACCAAAAGCATTATACAAATTTAAAGCAATTCCAATTAAAAGCCCAATGATGTTCCTCATAAAAATAGAAAAGGCAATCATGAAATTCATTTGGAAAAATAAGAAACCCAGAATAGCTAAAGCAATCCTTAGCAAGAAGAATAAAGCAGAAGGCATCACAATACCAGAACTGAACCTATACTACAGAGCTACAGTAACAAAAACGGCATAGTATTGGCACCAAAATAGACCTGTAGAACAACGGTACAGAATAGATGACACAGAAACAAACCCACATAAATACAGTTATCTAATACTAGACAAAAGTGCCAAAAACATACATTAGAGAAAAAATTGTCTTTCAACAAATGGTACTGGAAAAACTGGAAATCTACATGCAGCAAAAATGAAATTAAATTTCTATCTCTCACCCTGCACAAGACTCAACTCAAAGTGGATCAAGGGCCTAGGAATTAGACCAAAGACCCTGCACCTAATATAAAAAAAAAGTAGGCCCAAATCTTCATCATGTTGGCTAAGACCTGACTTCCTTAACAAGACTCCTAAAGTGCAAGAAATTAAATCAAGAATCAATAAATGGGATGGATTCAAACTAAAAAGCTTTTTCTCAGCAAAGGAAACAATCAGTAATGTGAAGAAAGAGACTACAGAATAGGAGAAAATCTTTATCACACACCCATCAGATAAGAGCACTAATCTCCAGGATACACAAAGAACTCAAAAAACTTAACACCAAAAAAACACAAATAACCCAATCAATATATGTGCTAAGGAACTGAGCAACCACTTCACAAAATAAGATATAAAATCGATCAACAAACATGAAAAACTGTTCAACATCTCTGGCAATTAAAGAAATGCAAATAAAAACTAAGATTTCATCTCATTCCAGTCAGAATGGCAATTATCAAGAATACAAGCAACTGTAAGTATTGGCGAGGATGTGGGGGAAAAGGTACACTCATTTACTACTGGTGGGATTGCAAATTGGTGTAATCACTATGGAAAGAAGTATGGAGATTCCCTAGAAAACTTGGAATGGAACCACCATTTGACCCAGCTATCCCACTGCTCAATCTATACTCAAAGGACTTAAAATCAACATACTACAGTGATGCAGCCACATCAATGTTTATAGCAGCTCAATTCAAAAATAGCTAAACTATGGAACCAACCTAGATGCCCTTCAATAGATGAATGGAAAAAGAAACTCTGGTATATATACAAAATGAAATATTACTCAGCCTTAAAGAAGAATATAATTATGGTATTTGCAGGCAAATGGATGGAACCGGAGAGTATCATGATAAGCAAAGGAAGTCAATCAGGCCAAATGTTTTCTGTGATAAGAGGATGATGATCCATAATAGGGGGGAGGGGCAAGGAAAGAATGGAGAAACATTGGATTGAGCAAAGGGGAGAGAGGACAGGGAAAGGGGTATGGGGTTGGAAGATGGTGGAATGAAATGGACATTATTACCCTATGTAAGTGTATGATTGCATGAATGGTGTGACTGCATTGTGTACAACTAGAGAAATGAAAAATTGTACTCCATTTGTATACAATGAATTGAAGTGCATATTCTGCTGTCATGGATAACTAATTAGAACAGCAACAAACAAACAAACAAACAAAAACACCTACAGATAACATCAGAGTGAATGGGAAAAGCCAGAATCATTTCCTCTAAGACCAGAAACAAGACAAGGATGTCCACTTTCATCAACCTTATACAAGATGGTATTGAAGGTTTTGGCCAAAGCAATTTGGCAAGAGAAAGAAATTAATGACACTCAAATTTAAAAAGGAAGAAGCTAAATTATCCCTGTTAGAAAATGACATGATTTAAAACCTTAAGATTCTACCAAAAAACTGGTAGAATTGATAAACAAATACAGTAGGGGCTGGGTGTAGTGGCGCATGCCTGTAATCCCAGTGGCTCACGAAGTTGAGACACAAGGATGGCGAGTTCAAAGCCAGCCTCAGTAATGGCAAGGCTCTAAGCAACTCAGTGAGACCCTGTATCTAAATAAAATACAAAACAGGGCTGGGATGTGGCTCAGTGGTTGAGTGCCCCTGAGTTCAATCCCTGGTACCAAAAAAAAAAAAAGCAATGGACTTAAAAAAAAAAAAAATCAGTAAGGTGCAAGACACAAAATGAACATAAAAAAATCTGTACCTTTACTATATACATCAAAAAGAAAACTGTTGAGAAAGAAGTCAAGAAAGGAATCCACTCACATTAGCTTAAAACATAAATAAATGAACTATTTAGGAATAAATACAATCAAGACAGTGATTGATCCTTACAATGAAAATGTCAAAACAGTCATGAAATAAACTGAGCAGGACACAAAAAAACTGAAAGACATCCCATGCTTATGCATTAGAAGAATTCATATGGTTAAAATGTCCATACTATGCAAAGTGATTTATGGATTTTATGAAATTCCTATTAAAATACCATTGATATTCTTTCACAGATATTGGGAAAAAAATCCCTAAAATTTTTATGGAAACACAAAAGACCCCAAAGAGCAAAGCAATCCTGAGCAAAAATAACAAAGCTGGAGGGCATTACCACACTTGACTTCAAAACATTAGTTCAAAGATTTAGTAACTAGAACAGCATGATACTGGCACAAAAACAAACACATAGACAAAAGGAATAGAATACTGAATTCAGAAATAAGCCTATGTTATTTTAGTCAGTTTTTTCACTACTGTGACCAAAGAACCTGACAAAAACAATTTTAGAGAAGAAAAAATTTATCTGTGGGCTCAGAGTTTCAAAGGTCTCAATCCATAGACAGCTAGCTCCATTCTTTAGAGATCAAAATGAGAAAACATCATGGCAGAAAAGTGTGGCAAAGGAAAGTGGCTGAATACATCATATCAGGAAGCAGAGAGGTAGAGAGACTCCACTTGCCAGATATAAAACATATACTCCAAAGGCATCTTCAGTGACTTACTTCCTCCAGCTAATAGGACTGAATGTTCACACCACAAACACAAATCTTGGAATAACAATGTCAATTACCCTGATCTGAATCAAAGTACACTTTATATACAAATATTGAAATATCCCACTGTACCCCACAAACATGTACAATTTCTATGTGTCAATTAAAATTAAAATACATTTTGGGGAAAAAAAACTCCTCTGAAAAAAGTTGATAAAATAATAAGACATATTACATTTCATAAACATACTACTGATCCATAATTAATCCTCATATCTTTTTAAGTTCTCACTGATTATAAAATTATAATGATGAAGTAATTATCCAAGCTGTGTACTTTTTTCTTCTACTCAGGAAATTCCCTGGCTGAGAGAGATGACAGAACTGAAAGCAGATATTTTACTTATAGTTATCTAATTACTCAGAAATCACTCCAGTCACTTAATAATTGCAAGCTCCTGCCCTGGTGCTTTTCCACAGAAATCTGTAAGACTGTCTCCATCACCTAAAGTGTAATATTCCTTAATTATAAGGGCAAAATGCTCTTGTTGTCACCACCACTATAGGCATCCTGATCTTCCTTCACCTACTTCATTGTTTCAATATATGTATCACTTAATATGACAGAATTTGTTAATTTTATTTATTACTATACCCACTAAAACATAAGCACCAGAGGTCAGACATGTAGTTTCACTGTTTTTGTTCCCAAATTCCCCTCACCAGAACAGTGCCTGGCACAGAATAGATACTCAATAAATAACTTGATGAATTAATATGTACGTGCATGAATAAATGTACAAAAGAACAAAATAAAAATAAATGACTATTGAAGTATAAACATATAACTATTTTATGAATGATCAACAGTCATTACTATCTTTTTTTAATAGTCATTAATATCATTGACTTTAGAAATCACTGATTCTCTGCTTAAACACTGTAGAGACCAATTCAACCTAACTTTTCATATATATCTCTAATAGAGTTTTACTTCAGATTCAGTATTGATTATATAAACCACATACCTTCCCTAATTAGTTAAATCCATAAAAATTTTAAAGTATAAGCTTAACAATAAATGATACAATTAGATTTTTAACGTTTGTAATCAAAGCTTCCAAACTGCCTCACTTAAAAAAATCTTCATTCTCCTGAGGAACAATGAGAACTAAGACTTTTTCATTTATCCACATGATAAGTTGATTTTTTTTTAATCCTTAATAGTGAATCACAAGAATGAGGGAAAAGAAATAAGAAGGCAAGGACAATATTTAGTTAGCTTCAAGTTAAAGAGAAATTTAAACTAAGGAACTTTCACTTTACTACCTACCATAGCTATAGCACCATCTGGTGTTTACCACACATAAATGCTATGACGACAAAAGATGTTTGTCACTTTGTTCTTAAAAAATGTTCAGGCAGTCGGACAAAATGATATAACTGTATGACTAAGATGGTAATGACACAGATCATATGTGTAAGATGGAAAAATAAGAAATAAATATTACAAAATCAATGTGGCATTAGAAAAATAAACCATTTAAATAATTTGCAAACAAGAATCTTCTCAAAAAAAAACAAAAAACAAGGACAATGGCAAAATATGTTATTAAAAGAGAAAAAAATTTAAATTATTCTAGAATCTTGTTAATAGACAATTTCAAACTAAATTTGATAGAAAGAAAATTGTCAACTAAAACATGAGTTTATATTTTAATACCCAGGAGATCTAATTATAAGACTTGTTCTATAACACAATCTTAATTCTTTATCCCTATTTTATAAGAAGGCCTCAATAATCAGTAATTTTCAGTTAATTACATACATTTTATTGTACTAGGGCACAACTATTTTAGTTAATACAATACTTTGTAACAGATAACTTCTTTATCGGTTAAGGCCACTGCCCCTAATTTACAATGACACTGTTACTTACACCAATACAGGCTTTCCAGATATCCTAGGATGTCTTAACACTTCTGACATTGTCTCTTTTGTCTCTTCCATTCTCTCTTCATCACTGGAATCCACAACGAATATTACCCCATAGGATTCAGCATAGTAATTCTTCCAAATTCCCCGAATTCTTTTGCCACCTCCCAAGTCAAAGATGGTGACTTCAAACTTTCCTTGTCTAAGGTCAATTTTAGAAAATCCAACAGTAGGAGCTACATCTTCAGGGTGTTCTGTTTAAAATGACACAAAAGGAACAATCTTTAGACTTTAAATAACATTAACTCTAGTATTTTAATGTCATTTAAATACTAAATGGAATATTTACCACTTGTTTATGCAACAGACACTACATCTAAACATACTGGTTTGGTAAGAGGCTAGATAATACAAAATATCCAACTATATTTTTTATTCCATGCAGATAGAAATTTCTGTATTTTTTAAGATGCTATAATCCCAGCACCTAATAGGTATTCAGTAAGTATATGTTAAATGAATGAATAAATTCTTGTCGTTAATGCTATTTCCTCTCCAACTTAAAAACAATAAGTGTCAACCTTTCAATGCCATAGTCAACCCTAGGGATAAATTCTGTGGAGTTAAAAAGAAAATGATAAACATTTAAAGAATAAAATGGTTTAGAAGAATCATAATATAGGAGAAACTACAAAAAAAAAAAACCTCTTTTAAACTAGATAAGTTAGAGCTACAACTAAGTAAAGATTTTTGATAACAGCTTGCAAATAAAATAAAGAGACTACATTATTTCTATAGATATATGTACTAGATGCTCCAAATAATGTATAATTGAAGGTTTTCTGTTTTTAGGGGAAGCGCTTCTGTATATGACAGCAAAAAAAAAGTCTAGGGTGCACATGATTATATCAATGAGTGGTAATGACAGAAAAGGATTAACAAGAGATCTCTGAAGGTCATTTTTTTTTTTTTAAAGAGAGAGAGGAGGGAGAGAGAGAGAGAGAGAATTTTTTAATATTTATTTTTTAGTTTTCGGCGGACACAACATCTTTGTATGTGGTGCTGAGGATCAAACCCGGGCTGCACACATGCCAGGTGAACGCGCTACAGCTTGAGCCACATCCCCAGCCCCTCTGAAGGTCATTAAAAAAAAATGGGGAGATGGGAATTAGACCTAAAAATTAGGTAGGCAGAAGCATAATGTAAGCAAGGGAAATGAGAATCAAGAAAATAGCCACAAACTGAAGCTAATCCTTAAGACTGTAAATGCAGACTGAAGCCAGACTGAAGAGGGGTCCAAAGTCAGAGAACAGAGAATCAATGAAGGTATTTGGAAGACTATTAAAGGTGACTGAAGAAATGCTTTATTAAAATTCATTTTGCAAAAATCTCTACAATGAAAGTGAATGACACATACTTTTCAGAAAGGTATGAACATAAAAACAAAGGAATGGAAAAGATATAACCCTTGAAAGATTAGTAGAACCTGCTAATAGGTTCAAGTTTCATGTTTGTCTCTTCCATTCCCTCTACATCACTACAATCTACTATAACTACTACTCTAGGACTTTGTGTAGCACTGTATGATTAAAACAGTAGCAAAAACTACATGAGGCTCTTAAAATTAATTAAAATTAAATTAAAAAATTTTTTTCTCAGTTGTACAAGCTATATTTCTTATAAGTACCGCGCGCTAACCGATTGCGCCACTGGAGCTCCATACAAGCTATATTTCAAGTGCTCAAAAATTACATGGATTTTTCAGGTCCACCCTACTGGACAGAGTAAATACAGACCATTCCCACCACTGCAGAAAATAATACTGACCAACCTTAGTTTAGAGAGTAAGATTCCCACATTGAGCAAAACATAAGAAGATAAATGTAAAAGGCACTTTCTGGGCTTAGGTATAACTGAGAAACACATCTGCACTGCACGACTTTCTTTTAACAAGTACCTCTGCAGAGTTCACACAATGCCTGAGAAAGTTATTAGAGATATTTAAAGTCACATTTTTGCTATATCTTCATTTTCTAGAAAAAGCAAAAAGCAAGATTAGACCTAATATAAGCAGCCTGATTTTCAAGAAACAGTATCACAGTACATCATTAAAAATATGGAGCTAGTATTGGCCAGAACTGGTTTTCACAGACAAAATAAGCAAATAAGCAGTTGTCTTTTTTTTTTTTTTTTTTTTTTTTTGTGGTGCTGGAGATTGAACCAAGGGCTTTGTGCATATGAGGCGAACACTCTACCATCTGAGCTATATCCCCAGCCCTAGGCAGTTGTCTTTGAGAATGAATTAAGTCAAGTCAGAGGAAATCACAAATGAAAACAAATCCACTACTATGGAGCAGAGATAGGAAACTAATGTGTACTAAATGTCTATTCAATAACAGAAATTTTCTAGGAATCATGGTACAAAGAGCAATAAAAATATGGTTGATATCCTCACAGAACACTGAATGCCAAAACAGAGAGAATATTACTGAGGATAACAGAATTTTTATGTTCTATGAAAAAGACTTAGGATAGTGTGAGGGAATTCAAGAAGGAAGGGATGAATTATAGTCTAGAGAGGCTTCAGAGAAGTGAAATGTGAGTGAAGTCATAAAGCTACATAATTCTAACAGAGGGAGAACAACATTCTAGGCAGAGGGAGCAATGTAAGCACAGATAAAATGAGAGCAATATTCCCAAACAACTGATACATACTAAGAATGTTTTTTCAAGTTTACTTCTAGGTAGAGATAGGATACAAATACAAGTCCTCTCAAAAGCCTCTGCAATTGAAATAGAGGTCTTTAGGACTACAAAAGCCAGAATATGGAATGCCCTCTACTCTCTACTGATTCCTATACAGGATTTGCATTTCAAGACTTAAGCGTAAATTCAAATGCAACTTTCCCCATAAATCCTTTTCTGTTGATTCCTTTTCACTTCTATTATCACCTTTACCCTCTACCATAATATCCTATCTTCTAAATGACCTTCATATGAGCCTACATCTTCCCATCATGTGGGACTAAGTCTTTGTATCCTTAGCACTCACCACAACATACATAGTGCTTCAAACTATAACACAATACTGCTAAAATAACTAATGTTTCCAGGTGCAGTAGTGTACGCTGAAAATTCCAGTGGCCTGGGAGGTGGAGGCAGGGGGATCCTGAGTTCAAAGCCAGCCTCAGCAACTTAGCAAGGCCCTGTCTCTAAATATAATATTAAAAAGGGCTGGGAATATGGCTCAGGGGTTGAGTGCACCTAGGTTCAATCTGTGTTAGCAAAAATAAAAAGTAAAAATAAAATAAAATAGCTGATGCTGCTGTTCTTGCCCTTCAATATATGTATCCATCTACTCATGCAATCATTATTAAGGACTTATTATAGATGAACTGCATTTCTTGATGCTATTTTTCAATGTAAAATGTAATTTTTATAGTTACATTAACCACAGTTTATCTGTCATTAAAGGACTTTTTATCATGTATGCTATATCTCATTGGCTATATTTAGTTGGTTAGTTTTAATTTAATGCTTTATCCTACAGTGTAGCTGTGGTGTGATAGTGAGTTTCTTGGGTCCTGAAGATATATCACCACCTAGGTATCTTAAAGGGTGTGAATTGGGAGAAAAGCCCTTAGTAGTTATTCCTGAAAACTGAATGCAACAAGATAGCTTGTATACCACGTAATCAGAGGACTTTTACTTCTTAATACCCTGCAAAACTTACTATTGTAAGAAAACATTTTGCCACCACAAATTCTATAATGTAAATTCCATGTGTATTGTGTATTACAAAATATTGTCTATGATGTCCTCAAGAAATGCAGAGGTATGCTAACTACATTTTTACTTCTACGTCACCTGGCTATATGACCAAATTCTGACCAAGAACATACATGTAGAAAATGGATATTGTTAAAGACAAGGATATGCCATTGTTTTTTTGCATTTACCGTCCTTACATTTTAGAACACAGACACCAACCTCCTAGCTAAAAAGAGACCTCAAGGAGCCTCTGTTTCTCTGCATCTATTGAAATTTGAACCCTAATATTAGGCTGGTACTAACAAGCTAGAACCCAGTCATGAAAGTCTCAAGTATATTAAGAATATAAAGTAACTGAGTGCATACTATATAAACCCAATTATTATGTGATAAAACAATTTAGCATAAATATGTAAATTCAGGATAATTTATTAGATTTTGGAATAATTTTCAGCTTACCTCCTTGGATTCCTTTTGCTGTTGCTGTTTTGCCAGCATTATCAAGTCCCACCATCACAAGAGTCACCTTTCTTAAAAGAAGAAAAGTTTAAAATCACTTTCTTTGTTAACTTAGTATTAGGAAAACAAAAGCAAAGAAATAAATGCAGCTTCATTTACTCAAGCAGCATTTAAGAAGCATCTACAAAATACAAGTCAATTTGTTGAAGGACAGGAGAGATGATAAATAAAATGTAAATTTAAATTTAAAAGTCAAATAAAGTACAAAGTATCATCCTTTTGTTCTCTAAGCAAATAAAATTGTGCAATAGATAACCTAAGAGCTAAAGAAGAAAAAAGGGAAAGAAAACATAAAGGAAGGTAAGGATATACAGACTAACCCTAAATTGCTTATCACAGCTAAAGACTTAATTTTCTAGTTAAATGAATTCCAGGGATTATTACAAATCTGCTTATCTTATGAAAGTACATAAGAAAAGAATTCTTGCTAGGTTGTAGGCTCAACTTTGTTTCTAGATATGTAGTACCTTACAAATTTAAGTCTTAAATGAAGTACAATAATATGATTATTAACTTAATTGCTAAAATATTTTGAAAGTCTTCCCAGAACATAAAGTTTAAAACATTTCTGATGATATAAAATCCAGAGTTAAAAACAAACTAGCAAACAATAATACAACAACAAATTCAATCTACTGAAGACAGGTAAGTTAAATAATTTGTCAAAGGTTACACAATTCATCAGTTACAGAATCTGGATGAACCGAATTCACCTTTTAGGACCTTCTTAAGCCTGAGAAAGGTTACAAAGGAACAAACTGATTACACTGGTCTTATTAACTTGGTGATCCTGTCCATCAATTAAAACTTATGTTTGTTCCAGACTGAATATTTCTACAATGTAAAAGGTGAGACAGTTCATTATCACCATGGATATGGGAATTAAAATTGCTCTGGGGATACAGAGACAAAGACAAAGGTTAACACAGCTGCCATGTTAGGACCATAGGGAAATGCTACATTTTTACAGGATAAATACAAGTATACTCTGTTCTCACTGGCAATTATCCCAAGGAGAGTAAAAACAGAACTCAGATGGCAGTAAAGAGTGTTTTCTAATTTTTCTAGGCATTGTTTTCTTTGATGTGGACTTTTTTTTTCTCTCAAATTCTAGATGTATTCAAATGATCCACATAAAAAGAGAAGGACAAAGTAAAGATATGAGGCTGACCAGGAATTGATCACTTACTAAGGTAGAAAAACTCAAGTCTTACAAAAACCAAATTTGTTACCTATTAGATAATCACTGACAACTCCTATACACCAAATACCAATGTTGTTAAGTACTAAGGGAAATCTGCTAATTAAAGCAACTACTACCAAAACAAAACACAAACACACACAAAACTTCTTCTTTATTAAGTTTACATTTTAGAGGCAAGAGAAAAAAAGAATGATAAAGTAAATACATCAAGAATATGTGATAGAGTATGTTAGAAAATTATGTTCATTGGAATAAAGAACAGAGTATAGAGCAAGATAAGGGGGACCAGTAGGGTAGGAAGTGGGGGCAGCTATATAGGGAGATCAAGACAGGTCTCACACAGAAGGTGAAATATAGCAAGAACTTGAAGTAGGGATTTAGTTACACATGTACCTGAGGGGAAAGAGAGAACAGATGGTGTAGACATAAAGGTCAGGACATGTGATAACATCCAAGTATCCACAAGGAGGCCACTGTAGTGAAACCAAGTGAGGTAAAGGTAGACTAGAAGGAAAAGAGATCAGACACACCTCAGATAACTTTTACAGGCTACAGTAAGGACTCTGACTTTCACTATGAAGAAATGAATTTATTCTGCATGTTCACTTCCTTTGTTATCCAGAAACCTTAGTCTTATCTAAATATTTCAACATCGCATACTCACATCAGGGAATAACAGAATGTCTACTCTTGAATCAGTGTAAGAATAAGATAAATCACAATAAGCAGCATTCAGAGTCCATTCCCAACAAGCTGATGGTGAGGCCAGTGGGAATGCCAAAGAGAATTTAGCAGATACTGAACTTATGGAGATGAGGTAGTATGTAAGGTACATATACCTGTATCCATGTGGAAATTTTACCTGCATTATCAAGTTTTCCAACTATGAATTTGCTTTCTAAGGAAGCTAGGAAATATTTAGAACGTAATTTTATTATTTTGTTTGAAGAACTAAATTATTAGTTGAACTATTAATAAATGTCAAGAATGAGATAAAAGTACAAAAACATTTCCTAAACACAATATAGTGAACGGCTATCCAGAAAAGATGAATATTGTAGCATTTTGCAACTAGGAATACAGCTCAGGTATGTCACACATAGGAGGGAGAAGAGCCAGGGGAAAAGGAAGAATGAAACTTCAAGAATCTTTTAAGTAAACATGAAGAGTATGCTGGGCACAGTGAGTGACGCACACCTGTAATCCCAGCGCTCAGAAGGCTGAGGCAGGAAAATCTCAAGTTCAAAGCTAGCCTCAGCAATGGTGAGGCACTAAGCAACTCAGTGAGACCATGTCTTTAAATAAAATACAAACAGGGCTGGGGATGTGGCTCAGTGGTCAAGTGCCCCTGAGTTCAATCTTGAGTTCAATCCCCATCCTCCCCACAAAAAACATGAAGAGTATAATCAGGAAAAAAAGAAAGAAATAATGAGGAGACCAAATGACATCACTGGGGAAAGTTTCCAACAGGGTTAAGATATAAATAATATCAAACACTGTGAAATTTTATAAAATAAAATTTTATAAAATAAAATAAAATTTTACAAAATAAAATAAAATTTTATAAAATAAAATAATCTTTTCAGTAACTACCTCAAATGAAGTAGCTCAGAATTAAGTGCTCTCAGTTTTTCTCAACCCTGCAATAAGCAAAGCTTTGAATTTTTATTGCATTTGATATTTCAAAACTATTTTATTCTATCATGTTTAAGTTACTCAAGGTTTCAGTATAAATAAGAAGTAGTCTATAACAGTTTCCATGGAAAGTTTAAATACAAACTTTTGTAAAAATAATTACTATTATTCCAAAGAGTAACTTGAGCCGTTTTGTTTATCCTAAAATTTACTCACATTTATATATACATATATACACACACACTAAATCAGGTAGCCAGGTAATCTGGCTCATTCAGCAAGGCATCCTGGAATGCCCCCACATTTAGGCCTACTACAATCATAATTTAGTTTCTGCATCTAACAAAAAGATTACCTTTAACTAAAGTCATGAATTGCATATTATTAATAAAACCTAACAACATGTTTATACAAATCTGACAATGGAATTTTTTCTGCTTAAAATTATAGAATTCAAGTAAATCAGCTCAGCAGTCTCCTCCTGCTGCTTCCCAGCAGGCCTATAATGACTAACATTCCTCAGCCCTTCAAAACCATTACACACAACTTTTCACAGTCTCTTCCACCAGAATTTTCCTTTATTAAAAAATACAACATAAATATATTTTCTGATCCCCCACTTGTTGAGTAAATATTATATAAAATTAAAGTATATAATTTTAAATTGAGAAAGCACTGTAATTAATTAGATTTTTATAACTTCACATCAAAAAAACAGTTCAATGTGATAATGTAATTAAAATCATGTATCTTTATTACATTGGCTACAGTTTTCTGAAATACCTTACAAGCACATGGATTCAAGATAATAAAAGAAAGATTTTTAAAACTGAAATAATTCTTAGAGAGGAAATAAGAGATCAAAAGTTCTGTTTTATAATATTTTAGCTATTTGCCTCACCAAGTAAAGACTTCTATACTTGAGGGGCTAATATTTGATGTTGTTCAAGTCTACATAGTGGCTAACAGACTCCAAAATTAAGTTCACAAGGATATCTTATCTCAGGGTTCCTTTCAACATAACATATATATATTGAGATATCAGAAATATAAGCAGCATAATATTGGAGATTACTAAATGTAGAAACCATTTATATTCTGAATCTTGTTTGAATGGAAATATTACAATATTTTTAATATTTTGAAGGTTAAACTTTCTCATAAGTCAAGTAAAAAAGATAATACTTCATCTGAGAAAAGGTATTTTTAACTTCAAAAATATTATTTAAGTCAAGGAATACTTTACTGAAAGCACTAAAAAGCAAAGCCTGACACATGAAAACTCTACTACCTAAAATACTTAAAACTATATGGTTCAAGTTCTAAACTTAAGCATGAGCATATACATAAATTCTAAAAGTAATATAAACATATCTAAAAAGGGACTTAGAAATATTGTTTCATGACACAATGAGAAAGTGAGAAAAACACACAAACATGGATTGGAAAAAAAATCACCAAAAAAGATTCATGGTATTATTTTATTGTGAAGGTATACTACTTTCTGACATTTTAATTCAAATTGCAGATCTCTGCATAAAATTACATCAAAACTATTAACTATATTTACTGAGCACTAATAAGTGGTGAGAGCACCAAATTTGGGATCATATCTTAGCTTTTAAGCTTTGATCAAGTCAAATTCTTAGTGTCAGTTTTTTCATCTTTAATATAAAAGGGGTAGGGGACTGGAGGGCATAGCTCAATGACAGAGCTTGGGCTTAACATGCATGAAGCCCTAGGTTTAATCTCCAGTACCACAAAAAAGTTATATTATATGTAAAATATTGAAGTCAAATAGGAGTGTCTCTAGCTCCTTTTCTATCCTTCAATTCTACAATTCTCACTATTCATAAACAAGCATTAAAGAGATAAAAAAGAAATGTAAGTCATTCCAGTTCAGCATATAGTACATTAGGTAATCCTTGCTAATCTGTATGTACAGCTTAATTAGGATAATAAGAACTCAGCAAAGTCTATAAATGGTCTAGATTTAGTTATATTTATTTAGGCCCAAAAAGTGATATTGGACAGCTTACATCCCCTATGGAGGGAAAAAATGTAGCAGAGATGATGTACTATATCACAGTATTCTTTATAAGACTCCACATCTATGTATAGAAAGCAATGATACATATTGCTAAGTGTGATTGCTAAGTCTCTTCTTTTAGA